TTTTTGGTTTCTTTCTTTTATGTCTCTGTCAGGCTTTTTTTTTTTTGGAGGGGGTGATTTACAGCACCTTACCAGTAGCGTTTCTAAACAAACAGTCTAAAGCAGATATAACTCTCTTTTTTATGGCTTTGTTTGTTGATGGTTATGATTCACAGACCTGCTAAGGAGTCAGTGCCTTTTCCGGTTTTCTTTTTTCGTTGGTCAGGACTTTTTTTTTCCCCGATGAATGCAGAACCCTGGTCGATGGGATTGTGAACAGAAATAAATCAGAGTGTAGAAATTGTTTGGACACGAGGAACTGATCTCCCTCCCCAAGCGCTAGACATCATCACCCATGACACTGTGGAGGCTAATGGCTGAGCGGAGCCGCGTTCATTAAAAAAAGAAGTGACAAGCCTAGAAAACCTCCCAAGATTGATGGTACTAAGATGTGTCACGTACAGAAGCGACAACAGTCTCGAAATCTTGGGGTGTAAGAAAGGGGAGGTTCAGAAGCTCATACAAGGCAGCTTGGAACACTCACAAAACGGAAACAGGGCTGTTAATTTCCTCTTGTTTTTATTCTCTTTCCCGATGTTGGGGCTGAGTTGGTTAACAAGTGCCTGATAGTCGTGGTGGGGAAAAATGGTGAATCGGGTGACCATCTGAGGTACAATTTGTTGAATTGGAGTCTGTCGTCAATTTATAAATTCCTTTTGGTTGGTGTTTGCAAAAAAGGTATCATCACTGTTTTCATGACTTCTTGATGATACCCTTGGATTTGGCAGACTGGCCCACTTTTGAAAGTACCATCTTAAGCGAGACAGCGTTGGGCTGTTGTGAATGGTAGCGGTGGTCTTATTGGTTGCAGAATTCTCTGTAGCATTTCAGGCGTCAGGGCAAAGCAAAGCAAGGATTTCTGAGATGCTCTTAATTTTTCTCTCAAATACATAGGGAAAAGAAAAACATGCTGAAATATTAATAATATAGTAAATGTAGAAAATGATATTAGCATACACAATAGACTGCAGAAAGCCTACACATGAACATTACAATTGTTATTCAAGTTTTTGAATATTACCCAAATATTGTTCCATGGCAAAAGAAATAATGTACCATTGTGTCATATATTTTTAAAACAGAATGAGAAAGTGCAAGTAATTTGTCTTCTGACAAATTTATTTTTCATTTCTCTGATTTCAAACCTTTTCTTGTGGAAACTTTCACCAACCATCCGAGTACATCTACCTCTAAGTCTATCGAAGTCTCAGAACATGTGCATTAAAAGTGTACGTTGATCTTTCCAATATTACAACAGAAAGGACAGGCTTGTGAAATGATGGACATTGAATGGTACATGTACTGTAAATGAATAATCGTGAAAGGTGGCACTTAAGGGGAAACACAGCTCCGATCTTTCCAATCCCAGATTCAGTGCAAGCGCTGCATGTTCCTCAGGTGTCAAAACACATTATAATGCGCATGGACGTGCTTTGATTTTTCTCTCTACTGCAGAATTGTCCGGCAGAGTCCCTCGCCGAAAATGTCAAATGCAAACAGGTCGGTGACTCGGTGGCTTGCGCTGCATTGAGTGTTGCATTTTATGAGCTCAGCTTTGAGCTGGCAGAAATGCATTGCTCATTGCAGAAACTCAATTTCCTTTAAACCCGGCCAGGCGCTTGGGCCCGGAATCCCAACCTGACTCCAGTCACAAATGTATTCAGGGTAGTCAGGTGGTGCAGACGATGCCATCTTTCTAAAGAAAATTAAACGGTCAAACTACAAGTTAACAGAAGTTATCCCCTTCAGGTTGACTTCTTGTGCTGACTTTTTTTAGGAACTTGAAAATTCATGTAACACCAAGCCTGCCCTCATGCAGGGAAGGAACAGTGGGTTACATGTACATGGACATATACAGGTACATACAGTTTAGTATTTAAAAATGGCAGTGTTATTCAGGAGCTAAGCACTTAAAACATATTTAAACAGGCTGTGTCCAAGTCGCTTGGCTGCAGCTTGAAATTAAAAACAACTCCATGGGAAGTGGCTTCAACCACAACCTTGGAACTGTGCACAATTTTACATGTAAGCCACAGCCAAGTAATCCTGACACGGCCTGTTTTCAGTGTACATTATGTGAATCATTGTTAACCCGTGCTGACGGGGGGGGAGCCAATCTCATGCACACATATGTATTTGATGTTCTCAATTGACCTCTGACCCACTTTATTCTGAGCATGCCCTGTGGAAATACCAAACTAGCTAATTGTATTCTATTCTGAAGGATCAGTTCTGTGGAGTTTTTCAGAGGATATCGATATGTGACTGTCACAGGGAGCACTCGGCAATCCTCTTAAGCCCTTGAGTATACAGACATCCATTTCATGACATTTGGAGGGTGCAATTTTGCACTGCACTCTAATAGCACTTCAGGTCCACGCACATTGTACATTGTACATGTACGTTGTCAACGTGGTCACTGTGGGCCTGGCAAAAGCACCCTCTTATGTCGAGATGTAAAACTTCTCAATTCCATCCCGTCATTTTTTTTTCCTCCCATGCTGACTCTTCTTGGAACTCCCTCTCCGAATCTTGCTTTCATTCCACTGATTTGTAATCTTTTATGAATCCAATGGAATGTGACCAGATAACTTACACTCCCTCGTCTGTTCCTTATCTTCTGTAGCTCTTGCCGTGGGCAATACTCATTAAAAGGGAGAGAAAATATCACTGTTGGACTTGAATTGGCCAGCTGATCCTAGCAAGCTGAGTGGTTCATTCTCTGCACTATCAAGCAAGGGGGTTGTGGGTTCGAGCCCTACCCGAGAGCATTCACTTTCGTCCTGACAAGATCCCAGGAAGTGATGATGAGAATGCAATAAATGACATTGTGTCTATGGAGGGCAAAGCAACAGGAGATTCGGAGCACCCCAAGGCAAAAATCTGTCCCAAGTCAAAATGTCACCTTTAATCCAGTGTGAAGACTATCAGGCAGCCGGGCTTACCCAGGGAGGGCTGAGGGGTTAAACTGCTACACCTGCCTCTTAATCGTGGCTGTTAATCTCCCCCATTTGTTTTGTACATACAAA